ACTCTGTCCCAAAAATGAAAAATAAAGAAAGAAAAAAGAAAACGAGGCCGGAAAAACCCTATGCTGTGGGACGTTGTGAGGATTGAACCGGCTAAGGCAAGTCAAACTGGCGGCACAGATCTGGGCACGCAGGAAGCGTGGCTGCTCTCGCTGTCACAGTCACACATGCCCTTGCTCTGTGAAGGAAGGGGAGGCGAAGCCTCCTGAGTGCCAAATCCACGCTTTCTCCAACCAGTGCTGGTTGAGCCCTTGCTGCGTGCAGGTGTCCGAATGTGTGGCTGTGGCCCGTTGAGTTCGCTTGCCAGCTTGAGCAGTGGCAGCCACGCCACACTGCTGCTGTCAGGAGGAGGGGCAAGGAGAGGTCCCAGCAAAACCTGATCCTGACAGAACAGAGAGGCTCACCATGTTCTTGTTTGTAGAGAGGATAACTCACCACAGAGGGCTGGGATTGGCGGAGTTACCTAGATACGCCCCCCCTCTCTAGGTAATGCAGTTCAGGGGGTGCCATCTGTGTCCCAGGGACACCCCTGGAGACCCTGCTGGGTCCAGCTCCTGTACCCAGCCCCTCTAGCCTTCTCCCCCCAGCCCCGGCTGACGGCACTACCTCAAGAACACACAACAACATGGAATCCAAACTCAGGGCACAAGCTCTCAGCCTGTGGGCTTCACACCAGAATCACCAGAACATCTGGTCTCCAGAAGCAGCCTAGTCACACGCTTCAAGTCTGGCAGGCAAGCTCGTGTGACTTTGCTTTGGGGACTGTATAGCCTGGATCCTGTGCTCTTGAACTCAAGCAGAGCCAGGCTGCAAGAGGAGCTCAACGCTGCAGGTGGGACCCAGGTCCTCAGTCGTCTCCATCAAAAAGTCGCCCAGGAATGTGAGACAGAGAGGCTGCTGAAGGTGTGGCAAAGAAAGGTGGGGGTGGGGAGAGGGCTGTATGGAAGCAGGAGACAGAAACACACAAGTGGTTATTATACTTCTAGAAAGATAAACACTGGCTGCCTTTTGAGGAAGAAAAACGTGCTGGCTATGTGCCACTTCAAGGCGGTGGCTTCGGCTTTGTGATTGGAGGATGTGTATCCACTGTGGTCAGGCCGTGCTCTGACTTGGATGACTGTTATTTCTTGGAACTTGGTCTGAATCCGTCATCATGGGAGCAGATCCAGCGTGAGTCTCCAGGACCAGGGGACCCTGGATGAAGGAGACCATTCTCTGGGCAATTCTGGATACTGAGTAAGACCCACCTGCACCCACCCTTGCACTCTGAGCATGTGAGGAGGCCTGTGCGCCTCTAACACACCCCAACTTTTTACTCCTCTGCATGTTCTTGCGACGCACTGGAGATCAGTAGGGCTGAGTCAGCTCTGTACCAGAACGGGCCCGGTCCTGGGAGAAACCCATTTCTACCACTGCCTCCTCTGCACGTCTCCATTTATGGAGACACAGCACAGGTGAGGAATTACAGGAAGAAGCTGCTCACCCACCATTCCTTCCTGGCAGCAAGATTTCCTCTCCTGGCCCTCCCTCGAAACCCCACCAGTTGGAGGTTGAGGGAATGGCATGCGCCAAGGCCCTGTGGTGGGACGTGGCATCGCTGATGTGACCAGAGTTCAGAGGGCAAGGGGAGTTGTGCTATTTGCCGAGACTACAGATGCTGGTGGGAGCAGAGTCTCCAGGACTTAAGAGCCACAGAAAGAAATCTCGAATATGCTAAGAGCTATGGGAAGGAGCAGAAGAACTTTAGGCAGGAGCATGACTTCAGATTGTTTTTTTGGTTGTTGTTTTTTTTTTT